GCTCTCCCCCCCCCCCCCCAGCACTGCAGCAGCCTGGTTGAAGTATTTGGGAACTTATTGATTTTGTGGGAGAAGATGGGTCACCAGAGAGAGAGAGAGAGAGTAAGGAAATCCGCCTAACAATTCGCCCTGCTCGGGAATCGAACCCAGGTCCTCTCGCTTGTGAGGCGAGTGCTCTAACCACTGAGCTACAGGAATTCACATAAATAGACTGCCAGCTATTTATTTGAGCTGTTGTTATTGAGTTGGCCCCACCCTCATAGATTCTCCTCAGTTCCTCTTTAAGCTGTCTCAGAGGCGAGGTTGGGGTGTGGGAGGGAAGGGGCGGAGCATCTTTAAATGCATTTTAAGTTTAAAAAAAGGGACGTTCAGGAAATGGTGGCTGTTAGATAAAGCAGGCGTCTTGCCTCACTGAGTGACAGTGCCCCAGGCTTGACCTGCCCATCGCTGGGTGCCTTAGTTCAGCGGAGAATACAGAAAGAGACGGAGAGAGAGAGTTGCTGGGCTTTTGGTCCAGGCTGTTGACTCGTGACCCACAGGGGATTATGGCTGAGTAGGTACAACAGGGAAGCGTTAGAAACCAGCATAGGCTTTGGATCTTCATGAAGGTTAGTGCCTCAAATAATCATACAGAATTCTAATAATATTAATAGACCTTGACAATAATAATCTCTACATTTGAAATAATAATAATCCTTGCATTTGATATAGCACCTTATCACATTGTCAAGACGTCTCAAAGCGCTTCACAAGGATATATTGTAAAGTGAACAGCCAATTGCGCACAGCAGCGTCCCCACAAACAGTCATGGATTGAGTGACCAAATTATTTTGAAGGGATTATTACTCCTGGAATTCCTGCTTCCATAGCCCCATTCCCCCACCAGTCTCCACTGGCTCCCAGTCCCCACCGTATCGCCCTTTTGAGATCCTCATCCTGACCTTGACGTCCCTTCACCATCTCGCCCACGCCCGACCTCCGCAGTCTCTTCCTGCCCCACTCTCCTGCCTGGGATCCTCCGACTTCGCCTCATTCCTAACTCCCTCGTTGCCAACATCCATCTGATCCTTCAAAGTCGTCCCTCCAGGGAGAGAGAGCGCATTCCATTCCAGCAATCTATCTCTGGGATTCCCACGTGTAGGTGGGATGCATGGAAATCTCAGTGTGGTTTGGATGCTCTTAAGCAAGGGTTTCCGCAGGTGTCCAACACCTGGCTAACCACAAAAAAAACTCTCTTCCAAAATCCCTGTGCCTCACGCCTTCTCTCTCCATCTTCAAACCACTCTTTGGTCTATTTGACCACCCCTTTGGGCAACATTCTCAGACTCCCCCTCCTCTCCTACAGGTATTCTACTTTAAGTGCATGTGGCTATCAATTAGATATTAGCTTTATTTTGTGTTGATGAGGACCAGAGACTTGAAATTCCACCTAGTTTTAGTCCATGAGACCATTTTGTCTTAGAATCTATGACGAAATGTGGAGTAATAATAATACTAATCCTTGCATTTGATGTAGCGCTTTATCACATCTTTGAGACGTCTCAAAGCACTTCACAGAATATACTGTAACGTGAATTCACTGTATATTTTTGTGCGCAAAGTAGTGGTGAATTCTTAAATCCAAATTAAGGCTGAAACTGAGAATGTTTTCTCATTCCACATGACTCCCAGTTGTTTGGATTCTTGCTGAGTGCAAATTGGCTGCTGCACCAGCCTACAAACACAGTCACTTCACTATACAGGAATGTGAAGCACTGTCAGCTGTTTCACTGTATCCATAGCGCTACGAGATGCCTCCTCGCTTGAAGGCCGCTATGCAAATGTTTTGTTGTTGTTGCTGTATCGGATGCAAGGATTATTATTGATATACAGCGGCTTTAAGATCACGGCTAACACACGACGAGGGGAGGAGCCAGGTGATATTTTTGAAGCTGTTGTATTTTTTTAACCGAGAAGCTGTGTGTGTATTTGGCTTCTGTGTGGTGAAGCTGATCGAGCGCTGGCACGTGCAGTACTCACACCCCGCCCGCAAAGCGAGCTGCTTGTTTAGCAGCGAGACTGTCAGGGGAATAGCCCCCTCCTCACATTTACATACTGCGCTTTGAAATAGAGGCGAAATTGCCTGCTTTCCTGGTCAGGCCTTTAGATCTGTAGCAGAACATCAGTTATCAACAGCCTCTGTCAGCTGCTGAGATTGCTTCGTCTGTCAACGTGAGTCATTGCTTTCCATATTCAAAAGCTTCTGTGTGGAAAAGTACTGTAATAATAATTATAATAATAATCTGTGCAATAGACATAGCGCCTTATCACATCTTTCAGACATCTCACAGCGCTTCACAGGATTTGCTGTAAAGTGGAGTGACTATATTTTGTGTGTAAAAATGTGCAATGTGTGTCTGTAAGTATACTGTAGGAACAGGTGGGTTTGTAGATATCTGTGTGCGTGTGTGTGCGTTTGTGTGTGTTATCAACATGTTTGTACTTGTATATGTGTGCATGTATTATGTACACATTTGTAAATACATGTGTACACATGTGTGTACATGTGTTAGCACTAGTCTGGCTCGGTCCGATGGTTGTGGGTCCAATCCTCAGAACTCTGAACCCATATTGTCATATATACCTTACACTAAATTGAAATACTTTCCTGTGAAGGGCTTTGTGACATCCACCCAATGTGAAAGGCGCCAGATCAAATGTAAGGATTATTATTATGTTATTACAGTTTAAATCACTGTGCAGAGATAGTTTCTAAGTGTTTTTCAGTAATGGGCAGCCAGACCATAACACTAACAAGATGTGACTCTTCATAACACGTTTGAGCTCCCAAAAATAGCTACTGTTTGCAGGAGGATGATATTTTGTTCACCATGTATTTTGTCAATCCACTTTTGGATAGTCTTATTTATGAACAGTTCCAGTTGCATCGATGATTATAGGAGCTATGTTTGTTTTACATTGCCACATGCGTCCGCATTCAATTTGTAGGTCAATAATTATTATGATGATGTAGATTTGTTCGCGTGTAAGTAAGTGTGTGAGAATGTGTGCTTATGTAAGTGTATGCATCAATCTGTGCGTGTGTGGATGTCCATGTACAGGTATATGTGTGTGTGTGTATGTATGCTTAGGTATGCATAATAAATAGTAATTCTTGTATTGGTATCGCATCTTATCATGTCAGGAAGACGTCTCAAAGTGCTTCACAGGATTTACTGTGAAAAGGAATGACTGTGTATTTGTAGGCAAATGCAGCAGCACAATTGTGCACAGTAGTGTCCTACAAACAGCTGTGAAATAAGTGACTCATTTTATTTGAGGGGATTGTTGGCATGGACACTGGAAGGGAGAAACTCCCTTCTCTTTTCGAATGGTGCCATGGGATCTTTAACATCCACCTGCACGGGCAGACGGGACCTCGGTTTAACGTCTCACCTGGATCACAATACAACGCAGCCCCAGTAATGCATTGAAGTGTCAGTTTAGACTGTGAGTTTAAGTTCCGACTTAATCCCACAAGGTCTAACTCAGAGGCGAGAGCGCTACCACTGAGCCAAACCCTCACACAATGTGTCACAAAATGGATGTGTGTGCCTGTTATCTATAAGCGAGTGTGCACACGTGTGTGTGTGTTTACAGCGGAGTTGAATATTCCTCTTACCGTGTGATGAAGGTGCCAACCACAAGGGGCTGGATCCCCTCTCCCCTCTATCGCCCTCCAGATCCTTTTTGTAGTTTGTAGTTGGAGGTGCCGTCCTGCGGATGAGATGTTAAACCGAGGCCTCGTCTGCCTGTCCAGGTGGACGTTAAAGATCCTGTGATACTGTTCAAAAAAGAGAAATAAAATACATATATTGTGCCTTCACTTCACAGTAATTCCTGTGTTTCGGTGTTTCCGATGTCATCAGGTGTCGTACATGTAAGAATTATTATTATAAGGGAAGAGAATCAATTTCTCTCTCCCTGTGTCCCGGCCAACAATCGCCCAAATAAAATTGGTCACTCGCTCTACGGCTGTTTGTGGGACACTGCTTTGCGCAACTGTCACTACACTTTACAGTATATCCCGTGAAGTGCTATGAGACAACTCGAGAAACATGATAAGCGCTAAGTTAACTGCAAGGATTATTAATATTAATATTCGCTGCTCTAAAAAGATTGCTTTGTCCGACACCTTGAGAGAACCTTCTCAAACCCCCCTACCCCTCTTTCAGGGCTCCTCTGTGCTCTCTTGCGTTCAGTCCGAGGCTCAGTGCTATGAGGAAAGTCCTGTTCGCCCTCTCCTTACCTACCTTCAAACCTTAAGATCTACCTCAACAACAACAACAACAACAAGATTCCATTTATAGAGCGCCTTGACCATGCCTATGGCTGCCCTGCCTGCCCTGCCCTGCCCTGCCTGTCCTGCCCTGCCTGCCCTGCCCAGCCCTGCCCAGCCCTGCCCTGCCCTGCCCTGCCCTGCCTGCCCTGCCCTGCCCTGCCCTGCCCTGCCCTGCCCTGCCCAGCCCAGCCCTGCCCTGCCCAGCCCTGCCCTGCCCTGCCCTGCCCTGCCTGCCCTGCCTGCCCTGCCCAGCCCTGCCCAGCCCTGCCCTGCCCTGCCCTGCTCTGCCCTGCCCTGCCCAGCCCTGCCCTGCCTGCCCTGCCCTGCCCTGCCCTGCCCTGCCCTGCCCTGCCCAGCCCTGCCCAGCCCTGCCCTGCCGTGCCGTGCCCTGCCTGCCCTGCCTGCCCTGCCCTGCCCTGCCCTGCCTGCCCTGCCCTGCCCAGCCCTGCCCTGGAGCTCGGAGTATGACCCTATCGCTGTGAAGCACTCCATGTCGTTACCCTGTTTGAAGTTCCCTGTATAAATGCACGTTATTGTGGTGTTGCTGGTGTAAGCTGCTGCTTGTACCTCACTCACTCACTCACTCACTCGCTCGCTCGCTCGCTGGCCTGGTGCTGAGAAGGGGAGCCTGACTTTAACACTGACCTTTGTGCCTCCCTCTTGTCTCTCTGTCTTTAGCCGGCTCCAACTTGGATCAGGAGAGCAAGCGCACGGCCCACTTCAGGTCGTCGTGGCAACAAAATGTAAATGTCTTCAGCTCCTCGTCCCGACCCCCCTGTGTGGAGGAACTCCATCAAGAGGCCCAGCTCAACCTGCAGTCCCTGCTCCAAGGTAGGACCCGACCATCCCCCAAATCAATCCGCTCGCTCACTCGCTCCACGGCTGTTTGTGGGACTCACGTGAACGGTTAGGTTTGGTGCAACACACCTTGTCATTTTAATTAGCGGTGGGGTGTGTAGGAGGAGGCCACATTGTCCACAGCTAATGATGAACATTCAGTGCAGAGCAGTCTGCTCTCTGTACATACCTGCTCTGGGTTGTTTCACCCTCCCTCCCCCCTCCCTCTCCGTTACCAGAGAAAGTTTAACGGGAGTTTGTGAGTGTTCAATGTTTGAGGCACAGCTGTGACTGTGACTGCGCTCAGGGTCCTTGGGGTCAGTGTGAACCCAGTACTCGCTCTGTCAGCCCTCAGGTCACTGCAGGAGCCAGGCTGGTCAGTGTGGTGTGTCTTGGAAACAGATTGGGCGGAGGTTTCCCCACCCCCCCACCTTCATTGAGGGCTCCTCCATCCTCGTTCACCCTCAGTGCTATGAAGAACGTATTGTGTGAGTTTGTTTGCCCACTTCGTATCTACCTTCAAACCTTAAAATCTATCTCCTCCACCGCGCCTATGGTAGCTTTCCCAGCCCCTTCCCCCAAGCCGGGAGACTGTGGCAGTATGTGTGAGTGAGCGAGCCCTGCACGGGGCAGCCCGGGGGCAATGAGGGGAGTGGGGGGCAGTGACCCACTAGGCAAAGACACCACCTGCTGCTCCCTACAGAAAGTGTGCGGTATCTCACACTCTGCTCCCAGTGCTCAGGGCTCTGCTCAGCTACAGCCTTTCCTGGGTTAGAGGAGATGTCAGCCAACAAACCTTCCCTCCCCCTCTGGATCGATGTCCAATCAACACCTCACCTCCCCCCCTCCAATTGATTCTGTGTGCGCGTATATGGCCACCCGTGCAAACGTGTGTCTGTGTGTACGTGCGCATGTGTATGTCCATATGTGTTTGTACACATGTAGCTGTGTGTGCACATGTGTGTGGACTTTGGGTAAGGACATGGGGCTGCATTGTGACTCTCACATTTGCGTGTCCTGACAGCACTCACATGTCGAGGCACCCAATGAAACAGGGCCATTTGGGGCAGACGCACTCAACCCTGTCCAAGTTGTTACCCTACATCAGTGGTGGCCGGATGCGGCCTGCAAGGTCATCAAGACGTTGCCCACCAAACAATCGCACCAGCCCAGGAGAGTCGTTTCCACGTCACTGCCTTGTTTCCAGTAGCTATCGAGCAGCGACACCCCAGACACAGTTATAAATGCCGAAAATGGGATTTTGTCGACTGACCAAAATGGTTGACCGCCACTGCCCTGAGTGTAGGACGCTGACCAAACATTTCGGCATCAGATGAGAATAGCATCTCATTGTCAGGCATCGCTGGTTCGGGTTAGGATGTTATAACTTTCCCTGGGTTTAGGATTGATTTGTGCATTCATATATTCATCAGCCGTGGCTTTAGGAGACGATCGTTGTTCAGAACAGCCGATTAACAGCGGAATTGTACTAATTAAGGAGAGGTTTGTTTGTGAGCCATTCCCTGATTGACGGAGGTGAAGTTGTGCTCTGGCAGATAGACCCGGAGGCCTGTGCTTGTGTTGACTGTAGCACTGAACTATTGTCTCTCTTCTCTAGCACTGCTGAGCAACCAACCTTCATCGGGGCGCTTCAATCACACACCACTGGGACACCAGCACAGGGCTACGCACACAGAGCGCACACACACTCACACACACACACAGCAGAGCACAACCAGGAGTGCACACACTCACACTCACACATATCCTGCCAGCACACACAGAGCGCGCACAGACACACACAGCATACACACACACACACACACACAGAATGCGGACACACACAAAAAACATACGCACTCCCCCCCCCCCCCCACCCCCACATGCACACAACCTCACTCTGTAACCCATACAATTGTGTCTCTCTCTGTCGTCTAGAAGAGTACGGTGAGCTGACACGAGACAGCCAGGCCGCCAGCAACACCTTTGGGCAGAAATCGTCCCTGAGCAGTAGAGAGTCCACCCCCGAGAGCGGCCGGCAGGGAGAAAGGCGGCTTGAGTTTGTGTTGATGGTAAGAGGCCGCTGCTCACTGGGCTTTACTGTCCGACGTTGCCAACCCCTTCCCCCCATCCAGCTCAGCCCAATCCACCCCTAACCCCATCCCCTCTTCCTGCCCAGCCCAGCCCAGCCTGCACCGTCAAACAATCATTAAACTCGGGCCATTCCACCCCTTGGCTCCAGGCCCTCGCTCGGGTGCAAGCCCTTCATTGTCCAGGGCCTTGGGACGTCCTCCTGATGTGATAGGTGCTGTCTGTGTAAATGAAATTTGTTGTTGTTTTTAAGCCATTTCTCAAAGTGAAAACCCACCAGTCGACCACACCCAACATGGCAGGGAGAAAGCTTTGATGGAAAGATAGTCTCCCTGTAGAGACAAGTATCTTTGATCAGTTTAACACCACAGACTCAACCATACCCCAACCCCGCCTGACCCCTGCCCTGCCCCCTGCCCTGACCCCAGCTCCGACCCCACCTGCCCACAGACCTGACTCCATCTGCCCCCAGCCCTGAACCCGCCCGAACCTCAACCCCACTCTGACCACACCCACATTGATGAGGATTACTATACACTAAAGAATTGACTGTTTTCAAATCTGTTTTGGGGGGAATATCACCATCGCGCCCCCCGTTGCTCGGGAATGTTGTCCACGGCTCTGCCTCCCTCTCAGATCGGCTGCGCTGTCAGAAACACAAATTAAAGATGATTCTGTTTTGGGCATTGTATGTTTTGGGGGGGGTTTAGCCAACCGCAAGTCGATTCATTGAGGATGAGACCAGTTGCATCGGGATAAGAGCCCGGGAAACCTCTCCGCAGTCTCCCACCGCCTCAGACCCCCAGCCCGGCTGGAGTCAGGCTGTCTCCCTGTCAGCCGCAGGCTCTGTACAGGCCCACGTTGTGCCCATAAACGTGACAGGTACCAAGGCTTGGTGTGTGTGTGTGTATGTGTATCTATGTGTATGTATGAGAGTGCGTGTATCTCTCTCTCTCTATTTATGAGTGTGTGTGAGAGTGAGTGTGTGTGGATGTATGAATGAGATTGTGTGTATATGAGTGTTTGTGTATGATTATGTGTGTGATTATAGGAGGACCAAAAAGTCATGACACCATTAAATATCTAATAACTCTTAAAGGAATGATAATATATATATTTTTAAATAGAGTAGTTATCAGAACTTTTTGGTCATCCTGTAATATATAAGACTGTATCTATATGAGTGTGTATGTATCTATATATGCGTGCGCGTGTGTACGAGTGTTTGTGTACGAGTGTGTGTATGTGTGTGTGCATCCGCGGGTATTTATGAGTGTGTATCCATATGATCAAGTGTGTGTATGAGTGTGTGTATCTATATGAGCATGTATATGTATGAGTGTGTATATGAGTGTGTGTGTATGCGCATATATGTTTGAGCGTGTGTATCTATCTATGAGGATGTGTGTGTATGAGTGTGTGTGTATATGCGTGTATATATGAGTGTGTGTATCTATATATGAGCATGTCTGTGTATATCATGTGCACAGGAGCTGGGAGTTTTCCCATGTGAGGCCCGCTGTCTCTGGCTGCTCCCCAGGCTCCAGGGTAGTGCTGCAATGTGTGTGATGCCGTCCCTCAGATGAGACACTTGTTACAGTAAGGTCCCGTCTGCCCGTTCAGGTGGATGTTGAAGATCGCACGATTCTGTTCAAAAAGAGAAAGGATTTTCTCTCTCCCGGTGTCCGGGCCAACAATCCCCCAAAATATAATTGGTCTTTCACTCCATGGCTGTTTGTGGGACGATGCTGTGCGCAAATTGGCTGCTGCGTTCACCTACAAAATACACAGTCACTCCACTCCACAGGGTGTCCACAAAGTCCTGTTACTCCCATTTTTTTCTAGAGTACGTTGACCAACAACCAACAACTCAAACGTGGAAGAATGTTAATGATTGTATAGGGAAATATTTCATTGTATTCAGTACAGAGGGGGTCACAGGACTTTGTGTACAGTGTACAGCGAAGCCAGTGACGTGCTTTGAGATGTTTTGATAATGTGATGGTGAGCGCTATGAAATGTAAGGATAATTATGATTATTATTAGCCGCGTTGTGACCAGTGCAATGCCTTTGGTTTGTTTTGTGGCCAGGAGAGTCCCTGGAACGCCATGCCAACACCCGCCACTCCCTCTTCAACACGGACACTGCCATCAACCCCAAGAGCACACTGAGGAGGAGGAGGACAGTTAGCAGCCTGCTGGAGGCAGCCAACCCGCAGCGAGGTCAGAAGCTAACCCCCCCACCCCCCCCGCAGCAAGGTCAGAGGCTAACCCCCCCCACCCCCCTGCAGCAAGGTCAGAGGCTAACCCCCCCCACCCCCCCCGCAGCGAGGTCAGAGGCTAACCCCCCCCCGCAGCGAGGTCAGAGGCTAACCCCCCCCACCCCCCGCAGCGAGGTCAGAGGCTAACCCCCCCACCCCCCCCGCAGCGAGGTCAGAGGCTAACCCCCCCCCGCAGCGAGGTCAGAGGCTAACCCCCCCCCGCAGCGAGGTCAGAGGCTAACCCCCCCCCGCAGCGAGGTCAGAGGCTAACCCCCCCACCCCCCCCGCAGCGAGGTCAGAGGCTAACCCCCCCCACCCCCCCCGCAGCGAGGTCAGAGGCTAACCCCCCCCCGCAGCGAGGTCAGAGGCTAACCCCCCCCCCGCAGCGAGGTCAGAGGCTAACCCCCCCAACCCCCCCGCAGCGAGGTCAGAGGCTAACCCCCCCCCACCCCCCCGCAGCAAGGTCAGAGGCTAACCCCCCCCCCCCCCCCGCAGCGAGGTCAGAGGCTAAACCCCCCACAGTGAGGTCAGAGGCAAACCCCCCCCTCCCCCCCCACAGTGAGGTCAGAGGCAACCCCCCCTCCCTACAGTGAGGTCAAAGGCAAACCCCCCCCCACAGTGAGGTCGGAGGCAACCCCCCCCCCCGCCACACAGTGAGGTCAAAGGCTAACCCTCCCCATAGTGAGGTCAGAGGCAAACTCCACCCCCCCCCCCCCCTCACAGTGAGGTCAGAGATTAACCCCACCCCACTCCCACCCGCAGCAAGTCAGGTGTTTCCCCCATCACTGTACCTTATATATAGGAACATAGGAACAGGAGGCCATTCAGCCCCTCGAGCCTGTTCTGCCATCCTATAAGACCATGGCTGATCTGTACCTCAACTCCAATGAGCTGCTTTTGCCCCATATCGCTTGGTACCCCGACAAACATCTGACCCCCTCAGTCTGGACAATGTGACTGGATCGTTGCTCATCATTCCCTCCTGTGGTTCACAATTAACCCTTTGAGACACAAGCACTATTCTTCCACCCACTGAGAGGGTATCCAACTTGGGCTGACTCTCCCTCACTCCCTTCCTCTGTCCCGGAGCCAGGCTCCACCACTCTGAAGATGACCCTCTCTGCCGTCCCCCACCTCCGCAACATTGCCCGACTCTGCCACTGCCTCACCACTCAGACCTCCGAGACCCTCATACACGCCGTATTACAATCGGCCTCGACTACGCCAGCGCCCTGCTTGTCGGCCTTTCCAACTCTACCCTCCACAAGCTGCAGATCATCCAAGAACTCTGCAGCTCACCCCACCATCCGCGCTCGGTCCTTCGGCCTCTCTGCCCCCACCCTAAGGAACTCCATCCCACATTCCCTTTGCCTCGTCCCCTCCCTTCCTCCTTGAAGGCACGGCTCAAGACCCTCCCCTTCGACCGCGCCTTTGGCCATCCTCCTGCCCTCTCTGCCCCCACCCTCCCTGATCCCAATTTCCCCCTCCCCCCCCGCCCGCTCGGGGCCTAATCCCTAATCCCTGACTGTTCAGCGCCTTGAGACATTGTCCTGATGTCCCGATGTGAAAAGCTTTACAGATGTGTGTGATGTGATGTGTGGTGAAGCCATGTACTGGTGGGCCATCTAGTGCTCAGTAACGTGTATTCCAGCCGGAGCTCAGGTCACCACAGTTCAAATCTAACTATGAGGTGCCCGACAAACAAAATACATTGACCCACCAAATTCCCAAATTCCATTTGATGTGGTGAGACTAATAATAATAATAATATTCCTTGCATTTGAGTTAGTGCTTTTCACGTCTTCTAGACGTCTCAAAGTGCTTCACAGAATATACTGTAAAGAATATATTGTATACATTGTGAATTGACTGTGTATTTTGTGGGCGAAACGTGGCAGCCAAGTGCGCACAGCAGTGTCCCACAAACAGTCGTGGATTGAAGTGACCAAATTATTATTGTTTTTTTTGAGGGATTATTATCAGGCGTCTGGAGTAAGGAAACTTGCCCAAGGTTTCGCCCTGACTGCCGGGAACCGAACCCAGGTCTCTCGCTTGGGAGGCGAGTGCTCTACAGGACTCCACACTAGAGCATAAATTGTGGGTTATCAGATAAAGGAAAATGGGAGGTTAGAAAAATTCCTGAGAATGTGGAATGCCTCACCTCAAACTGAGACTGAGCCAAGTCTGTACCAGAGTTTAAAAGGGTTAATACCTGAGAATAAATAATATTGAAGGGAATGGGGAGTGGGTTTAGCAATTGATGTAGCCAGCACCAGAACAGACACGATGGCGCGAGAGCAGGGACTAGAGTAGAGTGTTCCAGTGGGGGAGCGAGCACCAGCACACACGATGGTTGGAATGGTCACTTTTTGTAAACATTCTTTGGTATTGAAACGCTGCTTATCTGCTCTGTATTCCAGGCGTGTGTGCTGAGGGCCCTGTCTCGCCTCGCGGGCTGGGGAGCGCGGAGCCACCCCAGCGCCTGTTTACGTTCGACGACGAGCCCAGAGTGCCGAACGGGAGGCGTGATTCGGCCAGCTCCTCCGGCCTCAGGAAGGTCCTAAGTGACCTGGGGCAACTCTCCCACCCCAGCCTATCACCGTCCTCAGAGAACATCCCCCTCCCGGCAAACCACACACAGACCATGCGCACTTCCCACAGCGTCCACGCCTTCCCCTCCCTCAGCAATTCCTGGGACGCAACCAGAGGGGCAGGCTTCTCCCACCCCTGGACAGGCCTCGGGGTAGTTTGCCCGCCAAGCCCCCTCGGCTCAGCCCAGGCTCACCGGCCCTCACTGCCCAGTGACCTCAGCGGCCAGGCTCAGCCGATCCCATCACACCTGAGTTGCCCCTCCCTGCACGCCAAGCCTGGCGGTTGCCTAGACAACCATTCCTCGTCCGGCCCGCTCCAGTGCGCGAGCCGCTCCTCCCCGGAGCCCGGCCCCGCCATGTCCACCTTTTTACCCATTGAGGGGCAGGTGGTGACCCCGCTCTTCCCAACCCGACCTCAAAACATCAAGAACATACGGACTAACCACGAGCGGATTATCGTTTGTACCAATGAGCGTGGTGAGGAGAAGCTCCCAACCGCGGACGCCCGCTCTTTCCGCGAGAGGTCACTGTCCACCCCGACTGACTCAGGCTCCAGCTGCTCGGGGGAGGGGGTCCCGGGGCCGGGCGAGCAGCACAGGAGAAACAGCGAGTCCTACGTGATGCGTTACCCCAGCGCCAGCTCCGAGGACAGTCAGGGGCCCGAGCCACAGGGGCCCTCGCACGCCCGACCGCGCTCGCGCAGCATCTCCCTGAAGAAGCCCAAGCGGAAGCCCCCCCCGCCAGTCCGTGGGGTCTCCTTGAAGCCAGGGGGCACCGGGCTGAAGCTCCAGATCTTCGAGCCCCAGGTCTCCCGGGGGGAGAAGCGGCCCACACGGTTGTTCCTGGCCAACGAGAAGCGCGGGATCCAGAGCGAGTCCATGGACAGCAACGAGTCGAGCGGCTTCACCTCGATCCCCCGGTCCAGCGGCCCCAACCCCAGGGACGGGGAATTCTCCGACAACTGGTTCCTCAACGACTGGAAATCCAACGACCCGTACAGGTCTCTGTCCAACTCCAGCACGGCCACCGGTACCACCGTCATCGAGTGCCTCAAGCCTCGCAGCAGCTGTGAGTCACTGAGCTCGCCATCTCTGTCCAGGGCCACCACCCCCTCCCAGCTCTCCGTCGAGACTGAATCCAAGCTCTCCTCCCCTGGCAGGGTGCCCGGCCTCATGTCCCCATCCAGCGGTTACTCCAGTCAGTCCGAGACCCCCACCGCGGCGTTCCCCATATCCGTCTTCCACGGGGGGCCGTCGCCTCACCAGGCCGGCAAGATAAAGCCCAAGGTCCCGGAGAGGAAGTCATCGCTCCAGCCGCCTTCGCCCAATGAAAAGAGCCCTCGGTCCAAGCAGATGTTTGAGCTGCCGGTCGTGGTGCCGCACGTCTCGGCCCTCAAGCCACCGACCAAAGCCAAGCCCAAGACGGGGAGACGGCACTCGGAGACGGCATCCTGTAACGGTGGCAAGCCGGCCCCTAGCCCCAGCCAGCCCACTCTGCCTGTCATCACCCAGACTGTGCTGGAGTCTGTCCGCCTGCGCTCTATCAGCCGGTCAGAGAATGAGGACAACAATGGTGAGGCCTTCCCCGAGCCCCCCACCCAGGCACACGCTGCGCCTGGACACAGGAAGGTGGGACCCCCGGTGGCGGGGAAGCCCCCCATGTCTAAGAGGCCGTCCAGTATTGTGCTGAAGGTCTCCCCCTGTGACCTGACCTCACCGCTGGTCTCACCGCCTGGGACCTGCCCGGCCCCCTCCCCCACCTGGCTCTTCAGGAAGACGAGGAAGGAAGAGGGGATGGACGGCCCTTTGTGTCCTCGTCCCCCCGCTGCTGTCTCCCCTGGGTACCGTGCGAGTGAGCGCGCTGGGCCGAGCCAGACTAAGCTCTCTGCGCACGCTCCCGAGCTGCCGGCCGAAGCCATCCGAGGGAGAGGTGAGGCGACTGGGAGGTCGGCACAGCCTGGGGAGAGGTCGAGGAAGAAGAGCAAGACCCCCCCGCCGGTCCCCAGGAAGCCCACCGTGCTGATCCTCCCCACCAACCGCCAGCACATCCTGGTGGTGGCAGAGCGTTCCGAGCACAGCCCACTGCCGAGCCCCACTGCATCTCCCCTCCAGCCCGGCACCGCAGCCACCAATACTGCCAGCGAGACACAGGCACTGCCACGCCAGCCAGACATCAGCGGAGCCCACAGCCCCATACACCAGCCCCCCAGCCCCACATACCAAGCCGGCAATGCCACACACCAGGCCCCCAGCCCCACACACCAGGCCCCCAGCCCCACACACCAGGCCCCCAGCCCTACATACCAGGCCCCCAGCCCGACACACCATATCTACAGCTCTGTTCACCATGTTGGGAGCCCCACACACAAGCCCGGGAGCTTCACATGCCAGGACGCCAGCCCCACACGCCAAATTAGCAGCCCCACACGCCAAAATGACAGCCCCAAACGCCAAATTGGCAGCCCCACACACCAAATTGGCAGCCCCACACATCAAATTGGCAGCCCCACACATCAAATTAGCAGCCCCACACGCCAAATTGGCAGCCCCACACATCAAATTGGCAGCCCCACACGCCAAATTGGCAGCCCCACACGTCAAATTGGCAGCCCCACACGTCAAATTGGCAGCCCCACACGTCAAATTGGCAGCCCCACACGTCAAATTGGCAGCCCCACACACCAGGAAGAATACAGCAACCAAAACTTCAATGACGGGTTTGGGGTCTGCCTAAATACGGAGTTGAGCACCGACCCGGCCCAGGTCCTTTCAGGTATGTATGTTAATGATGAGATGGGGCCCAGGGCTATATTGTTGTTGCCGGGCCCCGGGCCTGTGGTGTTGTTCGCTACTGGCTGCTCGATGCTCTCGATGCGCTGCACGGCACATGTGTCTCTGTGTCTGAGCGTGTCCCTTTGCATCTGAGTGTGCCCGTGTGTGTGTGAATATGAGTGTATCTCTCTCTGTGTGTCTGTGTGTGTGTCTCTCTCTCTGGGTGTCTGTGTGGGGTGTTGACCTCGAGAGTCAGAAAGTGATGGAAGTGGGCCATTTGTTCCTTGGGGCCTATGCTGGGGTTTTACCCAGTTTTTGTTAAAGCATTAATGATTTTTTGGAACAATCTTATATGTGGTATTTCTTCATGTTTAGTTTTTATCAATGAAGTGAAAAAATGTAGGTTGGCAGTAAAATTGCCTCTCAATGGCACCAATCAACTCCCTGCAATTTTCTGCAAAATTTATCAATTTGGTGCAAATATTTCTGCAATTTTCTCTTGGCCCCGGTTATAAACCTTGCATTTGATAAGGCACCTGATGACGTCTCAAAGCGCTTCACAGGATATACTGTAAAGTGGATTGACTTTGTATTTTGTGAGCGAAACGCGGCAGCCATTTGTTCCCAGAAAGTCCCCACGAACAGCGGTGGTGTCAGTTATTTGGGTTATTTGTTGGCCAGGACATTCGGAGAGAGAAACTTCCTTCTCTTTTAAAACAGCCATGAGATCTTTAATGTCCACTTGAACAGGCAGCTGATGTAATTGGAGCTGATTTTTATTTCTCTGTTGGACTCAGCCCCTCACTTGTCTCCCCCCCGCACTCTCCCCCCCCCCCCCCCCCACACACACGATTGTAACTCTTTTGTTTATTTCAGACGCTGTGGGGACCCGCAGTGCTGGGCAGAGCGGTCCAGGGAGTCTCCAGAGCGAGGACAGCATCACTGAAGAAGACGAGGATGTCTTTGTGTCTCCAGGTGTCCCCCGCTCCACAGAGGATCTCTTCACCGTCATTCACAGGCAAGACACTGACCAGGGGGGAGGGCGGGGGGATCAAGCAGGGACGAGAGAGACCCACTGCGCACTCCCCTGAGTGGGGAAGAGAGACAGAGAGACACCAAGCGCTCAACTGGGGATCTCTTCACCTTGATTTACAGGCAAGGCACTATGGTGGAGGAAATAGGGGGAACATAGGGGTGTGGGAAGGGGGGAGAAAGACACCACACGCTCCCATGAGTGAGAGAGATAGAGAGATGCCGAGGCTAACTATGAGGGTGGAGATGGGAGGAGCCTGGGCAGGAATGGGGAAGAGAGTGAAGGATGGGGAGAAGGGGGAAGAGAGCAGAGAGAGAGATGGGAGTTGACGCAAAGATAGAATTAAGAGTTGGCTTCCAATTTAATTAAATGTAATACAGGATTATCCCTAACTCGACAGACACCTAAATTATGAAGAGTTAAATTAAAGGATTGAGGATTTGGGGGTTCAGTAGCTGGGCGCTGGGCTGGTTTGGGGTTTCTCAGCTCCAGAGGCCTATTGTAGCCTGTCCAGCACTGCCTATGTGACTGAGGTCAGGCTCAGGGCCTGGGAGCTATGTAGAGTGCATTGACGCTCAGCAGGAAGTCCTGGAGAGGAAGCCTGTGTGAACGCCTCTGTTTTCCCCACAGGTCCAAGAGGAAGGTGCTGGGGTGGAAAGAGCCAGGAGAGACATTCCGTATCCGAGAAGTGGCTCCGTCACCCACCAAACCCCCCTCCATCACCGCGGGCGCCAAGGCCAGCACCAGCAACGAGAACTTTAAGGCCTTACTGCAGAGGAAAGGGGGCAAGTCCGGGGCCACCGGCCGCGTCTCAGCCACCGAACTGCTGAAGACCACCAACCCCTTGGCTCGACGGGCGACCGACTGCACACAGGAGCCCGAGCGACCCCGGGGCCCGGCCGAGAGCACGGCGTGGAGTTAGGCCACGGCACGTCCCCCCCCGGGCAGCAGCCGGGCAGCGCTCAACGGCACTTTGTCTTTTTATGGAGCTTGAGGTTTTTGTTCATTTGTTGCCCTCGGCGATGGGAGCGGCGACCGAACCACGGGACCAGCGGCCGGGGGTTAAGCCCCAGGGGATATAGCCACGTTCCCCAGATGTCTCTTTGCTCCCGGGGTGTTTTCCCTGCTCCCGATGTGGAAGATCAGATGCTGAAAGCGTGACGCTCCGGATTATTTAGTGGATCTGGAATGTCGTGGGAATGCCGGGGTGATGGAGTGGGGGGAGAGGGGCGTTGGGGAGGGAGGGAGAGAGGGAGGTGGGGGGGTGGGGAGGGGAACAGATGGACAGGCAGCTGTTGTGAACAGAGCAGGACAAATGGGGGCCTCAATCACCCCATCCTCCCGTGGGATGTTGTGGCCGGAGGCTGGAGTTTAGTCCTTACACAGGGATGGCGGGGGGCACGGGTGGGGGCGAGGGGGGCCTGAAAAGATCAGCGACTGACGTCGCGAGCACCGGGCCCCGCCTCAGGAGCCAACACCAACAACAACGACGATAACTTGCATTTACACACCGCCTATCTCACCGGCTAGACGTCTCGCGGCAAGAGGAGACGTTGTGAGCAGGACTGGGATCGACTGACCTGACTGTCCGGTCACTAACAAAACCAGCAACGCACCTCAATCCTCCCCCCAAGGAATCAGGGCGGGCAGGGAAATGGCGTGCCAACCATCCCAGCTAGAAAGAGCCTGGCAGACTGGTGCTCTGCAGGTGGTTTGAAGAGGATAATGTGTCTCTGGCTCCACCAGTCTGCAAGATTCCTGGTGACTGAGGTTTGGCTGGGTTTGAGAGAGATACGTCCTGCCCCTCCCTTACCCCCCACACCCCCACCTGAGGGGACAATATAACCCCCTCTCCCTCCCGCTCCCCCATCGCTACTGTTGGAGGGGCGGAGGGGGGTTTATGGAGACAAAGGCAGAGAGTGCAGGCATGTTAACTGTACTTCCGAGCTGCCTGGCACAAAGCTAGTGTGTTTGTCGCCCGTCTGCTTTGTGAAGCCCGTTTTTTTTTTCTGCAAGCGGGGTCTAATGTGTGTCGGAATTTTAGTGCCTCCTATTCTGTGGTTGAGCTTTATAAATAAATATATTACGTAATAATATTGGCATCGGTATATATAAAAAAAACATAATTTTACAAAAGTATTTCTGAAACTGAGAGAGAGAGAGAGAGAGATAGAGGGAGATATAGAGAAGCTATATTATATATATATATATATATATAACTAGAAGATTTCCACAAGCCAGTGTGCTGCCTTTATCCTGCTCGAAACAGGATAGAAGCTGAATGTAAATGGCTCCATGGCACCGTTGAGTGTGTTTGCCGGGATCCGCTGGTTCCATTCCATTATATTTTTTGAAGCGTTTCAGAAATCCTCGTCCCAGCTCCGTGTTTATTTCGGTTGCTCCGCGAGGCGCCTGCAGAAGGCAAGTTGGCGTTCTCATCCAGAACCACGACGACAACCACGACTTGCTTTTATCTAGCGCCCCCTCCCTCCCCCCCCACCCCCCCACACCTTACACAAGGCAGCATCCGTCCTCATCTGCCACGGAGCTCCGTGACCTGCCCACTCCACAGCTCCGTGTCTGGGCCAGTCTGGAGCTCTGTAACCTGTTCCAGGAGGAGATGTTTGGGGTTCAGAGCTGTGAAGTCACCCCTTTATGTAAAGATCCGTTGATAATTTCTTGTGACGGGTAACTCCCCCTCCCCCCCAGAAGCAGCTCTTTTATGTATAGGACCCGTTCTTTCAGCGATGGTGAATTCATGCCACCGTTTTGTAAATTGGTTAATACTTTTACCTAAAATATTCTTGAACGGAAAGGTTCCTCCCCGCCTGCCAGCCACCGCCACCACCTCCAGAGTGCCGTGCGGCTAACCGGGAGCTGAACGCACCTTGTGATCATTACTGTTACAGTAAAAAAAAGCCATGTGTTAGTTAGCGCAGAGGAAGGGAGATCCATCCTGAACTCCAAAGTATCGCATCGCATTCCAGGAAGTCTCGGACTTTCGTCTGTGAAATTAATCGTTTATTGAAAGTGACTCAGGAAAATCGAGAATGATCTACGGATATTTTTATCACTAATAAATGCCTCTTCCCACCCCCTTTCCCCTCCTCCCCCATAACTTAACGGAGCGATGAATTAAGTATTAATTGTATAACCTTTTGGGACAATCATTAAAAGTGACTTGAAGAACATTTTATTCTAGAGTCGTGTTCTTTATTAAACGTTCCTCCCCGGCCTCACCCAAGCTCACCAGAAGCAAAGACTACCAAACACTACATTTATTTCGAGGCAAAAAATCCATCTGAATGCGGAAAACATAGGCCTTGGATTACTTTTCCCTTTCTTTACCTCCCAAAGGGTACTCTGATTGACTTGCGGTTCTGGTTTCCCAAAGAAAAATCAGCCTTGTTTGTTCATCAAATAAAAAGTCCCTGTTGGGAATATCATGGGAATCTGGTGGGGAGAAAAATGAAATGTAAAATTTTGGTTTCCAGTTTCGTTCAAACACGTAGGAATGATCAAAAGGGAAGTGAAGATCAGAATGTGTATATATTTATAGGAATGTGTGTGTCTTTGTGTGAGTTTGTCTGCTTGGTATTTATGTGTGTATCTGTTGTACATTTTTTATACAGTAAGGTGAGTGTGAATGCCTGTGTACACAGTATGTATGTGCGTATGTGAGGGTGTACACAGTGTGTGTGAGTTGTTCAGTGTTTGTATATGTGCAGGTATGTGCAATATGTACGTTTGTGCAGTGTGAGTGCATATTGTTGGTCCACAGAAAACAGAGTCACTAGACTTTACAGCAAACCTGCGGTGAAACGTGTTATATCAAATGCAAGGAATATTATGATAATGTTAAAGATCCCACAACGTTATTGGAAAAGAAAAGGGAGTTTCTCTCGATTGTCCATCAATCCCCCAAATAAGATTTAGAAACATAAAAACAGGAGGAGGCCATTCAGCCCTTTGAGCCTGTTCTGCCATTCTAGTAGATTATGGCTGATCAATTACCCGCCCTTGCACCATATCCCTTAATACCCTGACCTAACAAATGGCTATCCACCTCAGTCTTGGAAGATGTGAATGGATCCATTACTATTTAAAAATAGTAATAATTCTTACCTTTCAGGTCAGGAGGGCATCTAAAAGGGCTTCACAGGATTTTACAACAAGTGTTGTGATTTCGTTGGTGAATACAGCAACCAATTTGCATAGAGCAACGTTCCACAAACAGCCATGATTAATGACTATAAATGACTAATTTTATTTGGCGGATTGATGGACACCAGGAGAAACTCTCTTCTCTTTTCCTCAGGACCTTGTTCGCTGGTCATTCACCTCCTGGCCATTTGCAGGTCTGTCTTTTTCTGCAAAAAAAACAATCACTACACTTGACAGCAATTACCTGTGAAGCCATTTGAGACGTGATGAGGAATGAAGTTCCTATTGACTGATGGTGATGTATTTCTGTCTCTTGACACAAGGTGACGCTCTGCCTGTACATTGGAGCAATGATGCTGTGAATGTTTGAGCTGTAGTTTGTGAAGTGAAGGCATAGTGTATTTTACTTCTCTCTTCGAACTGTACCATGGGATTTTTAACGTCCACCTGAACAGGCAGATGGGACCTCGGTTTAACACCCCCAGCGCTGCATTCAAGGGTCAGTTTAGACTATGTGATTCCAAGTCTCGATGTGGGGCTTGAACCCACAGCCATCGGACTCAGAGATGAGAGTGTTATTTAGATTGATACAGCACCTTTCATGTCAGATGTCAAACTGTTTCATGAAGTTCACAGCAACACAGCAAAGTGTAGTGACTGCCAGTCTGCCACCAACAGGCTGTGAAAATAATAATAATATTCCTTGCATTTGATATAGCGCTTTTCACGTCTTCTCGACATTTCAAAGCACTTCACAGAATAGACTGTAAAGTGAATTGACTGTATATTTGTGGGCGAAACGCGGCAGCCAATTGCGCACAGCAGCGTCCCACAAACAGTCGTGGATTGAAAATGACCAATTTATGATTGTTTTGATTTTTGGAGGGATTATTATTAGGTGTGTAGAGCAAAGAAACTTGCCCAAGGTTTTGCCCGGCCTGGAATTGAACCCAGGTGTCTCGCTTGCAAGGTGAGTGCTCTAACCACTGAGCTACAGGTCTCCACATGGCACCAAACACTGGTGAGGCAGAAAAGTGATCCGACAATTGACAAACAATCATGTTCCTATGTACTGATGGGCAAACAGAGGCATGTGGAATAAAGAAACTTGCCTAAGGTTTCGCCCTATCTGGGAATCGAACCCAGGGCCTCTCGTTTGAAAGGCGAGTGCTCCAACCAATACGCTACAGAACTCCACAGTAAACTCGCGGAGAATTTCGATATGTTTATAAAATTTTGGGCTACATCAAACATCTTTAGTAAACTTACTGCATATATTAAATATCATTAGGAAACTCCTTGACTGATTGTTCAAACATGTTTTGGTTTCAATGGCATTGAGTGATAGCTGCACCAGTAAATTCCTGTCAGACGGAGGAAACGGAGGGGGCAAGATGGGTGGCAGGGCAGGGGACGTGGAGCAGACTAGTGCCCGCCAAGCAGAGGGAGCAGGCAGATTGGTAAGGTTTAGTAGGTCACAGAGGGAGGGCAGAGCAAGACCATCGAGGGCTTTAAAGATGGGGACGTGTTTGGTGGAGACTCTGAACAATGGGTCAAAGATGAGTTGCTTTGACCCTGGAGGCAGCAGTCACCGATCCAACAACACAAAGAACCTGCACGTTTACAGTCCAGTTCAAGTGGCTAAGGTTTATAAAGATAGGGTGGGAGATGGATGGGGTGGGAGGGAGAGAGGTGACCGAAGGCACAGTCATCACGATTTGTACACCGGTTTTGAAATAATCTTTGCATTTGATTTAAGCGTCTCATATTGCTGAGATGTCTCAAAGCGCTTCACAAGATATTCTGTAAGGTGCAGTGACTGTGTATTTTGTAGGCAAATACGGCAGCCAATTGGTGCACAGCAACGTCCCACAAACAGCCTTTCAGTGAGTGACCAATTTTATTTGTGGGATTGTTGGCCAGGATACTGGGAGAGAGAAACTTTTTTGATTTTAGTTTCAGTCGAGAGCAGGCTGGTCCATAAGGCGGCCCGTGGGCCACATCCGGCCCGTGATACGTCGACATGGGGCTTGAGCCCACAATCTTCTGCCTCTGAGGCAAGAGTGAACTGAAACTAAGAGTGTGTGAGGTGGAGAGATTTAGGAAGAGAGTTCCAGAGAGCGGAGGGAAAGTGACTAAAAGCTCACCCGCCTTTCAATGAGATTGGTGAAAGCACGCTTTACCAGCTGAACAACAACAAGATTAAATTTGTATAGCACCTTTCAAGTCGGGAGGACGTCCCAGTGCAATGCTTAGTTGGGCAGCCTTTCACTATAAGAGGTAACAATTTAATCATAAGTGAGCAATTATCATCAATCCCTTCACGCCCTGCTCTGGGACCTCTTCCAATCTGGAGTCCTGTAGTTTAGTGGTTAAAGCACTCGCCTCACAATCAAGAGCACCTGGGCTCCATTCCCAGGAATGGCGAAACGTGGGCAAGTTTCCTTACTCCACACGCCTCTGTTTACCTAGCAGTAAGTAGTAGAAACCCGATTGTTAGTCGATCGCTTTTCCAGGGTAATAAATAATAATAATAATAATTTGGTCACTCACTCCACAACTGTTTGTGGGACGCTGCTGTGCACAATTGGTTGCCATGTTTCCCCCCCAAAATATACAGTGAATTCACTTTACAGTATACCCTGTGAAGTGCTTTGAGACATCTAGAAGACATGATAAGGTGCTATATCAAATGCAAGGATTATTATTATAAATGTCATTCTCCTGCTCACCCTCTCCGCTGGGCTGCCTGGACTAACTGCGTTTTCCTTTGCGATGATCTCCCTGGGAACAGAATAATATTAATACTTTCATCTCAGGTAACGCAAACTGGCTACCGTGTTTTGCCCCAAAAATACACAGCAGTTACTCCACTTTACAGTATATCCTGTTAAACACTTTGAGACACCTTAACCATATGATCAGGCAAATCACGTTAACTTGCAAGGATTATTTTATTATTTGGAGTCACCTTGCATTTTATGTAGTGTCTTA